GAACCTTCTGAAGAGACTTATGAAATCTCAGGACTGCCCACTCCAAAGGCTGAACGGAGGAAGCATTTATCCATAGATTCCCCATTAGTGAAAGGTGGTCCACAGTTTTGGATCATGCACTTGTGACTGGAGAGCAAGTTCCCACGGGTGTCCCTATTGCAACGTCAGAGAAGCTGACGGCAGGAAGCAAGAGGTGCATGGCAGGGTCCCGACAGCGCCAGGTAGCATTCACCTGAATCTGGTGAAACTTCTTAGCATTAGAGGTGAGGCTGAGAACATCCAAGTGGCATCCAAGAGGTCCCCAATATAAAACCATTATCAGCAGTATGATGTACATCTGCCCAGACACAGTTTTTTAAGAACACCATTCATTCATTCACTCATTCATTCATTCATAAACCCATTCAACAAACATTTATTAAGCATCAACCACACGCCGGTGACTATGTTAAGTACGAGGGATCCGGTAGTTTGTCTATCATAAGTGCTTTGCTCTCTTGGAACTTGCAGTCTATTTGGGGGAATCAGGCATTTAGTAAATTATTATAACAATTAGTGAATTACAATTGTGATAACTATCATGAAGCGTAGGATGATAAACTTTCTAGTCATGAGAATCAAGGAAGGCTTCCCCGAGGAAGTGGCATTTAAGCTAAAACGTGCAGAGGAGGAGGTGAAGAAAGTAAAGTGGGGGAGAATAACTAGAAAGCGTGTTGCAGGCAGAAGGTGAACAAATATCCCTTGGCAGAAAAACTGAAACTGTCCTGAGTAAAAAGAAAAAGCCAGGGCCCACTGGAGTGTGTGAGTGACGGGGAGAGGCGGGGGTAAGTTGGTGGCTTAGCAAGAGCCGGATCACGTCCGGCCTGATAGGTCAGAAAAAGGATTTGGATTTTATCCTAAGGTCAATGGGCATCTACCGAAGGATCTTGAACAGGGGAACAATTATAATCAGATTTGGGTTTTTGTTTTGTTTTGTTTTACATAAATCAAGAGATGCTTGTAAATATAAGCAGCAGAAGCTCATAAATAGCACACAGGTATTTAAGAAGAGCACCGTCTGTAATCGCTATGTAACTGTACAAAAACAAAGAGGAGTGTTGATGAGGTGGGAGCAGTGGGCTGGTGGCCCGAGCCTGGAGTCTGGGAAGGCCTGCGTAGTTCACTTTTTCTGTGTTTTTGAGGACTACTTGGTCTGACTCGACGCCAGGTTTGCATTTGGGTAAGCCACAATGAAATCCCCACTGAAAACTCTCCCCCTTCTTCAGAAGCTTCAAAAGAAAATTTCTCAAGTTTCCACTGAGACTAACCTCATATGTGGGTGGTGGTAGGGACCACCTATAGGATGTGACTCAAAAGGTGCTGAAACACCACTCCTATTCAGTGTAAACTTTCTATGCCCTCTGCTAGTGTCTAAAATTCTACCATCACCATTCTACTCCGATGAATGTTCAACTGTCAAATATGGTAGCACTGGATCTATCCTGCCTTCCTGGGACGGAGTTGGTTTTTTGTGTTTTCTCTGGGATGGGAGGATTTGAAGCTTTTTGAGATCACTGGCCACACAGCGGCAGGGAGGGGCCATGAGACTGGGTAGGTTACAGAGAGCGAGAGTGAAAGGAGCTTGGGCTCGTTTGTAGTTAAAGGATGCATACATAATGTTGCATGTGTATCCTTACATAAACTTAGGTAAACATAGACGGGTATACTTATGACATATACATGACTTTATAACATGGGAAGCAATAATGGTAAGGAACACAGGTCCCGGGATTAGACCAACCTGGGTTCAGATCACAGCCTCTGTGACTCCAGGAAAGTTGTAGCACCTACCTTATAGGGTGGCTGGCAGGATTCAATGAGATAGTCTGTTTAAAGTCTTAGCACTGCTCTGAGGCATAAATGTTACGTTACTAAGATGATGAGTGTGTTTGTCCTTGTGCAAACATGTGTGTGCCTGCACGTGTAGGTGCAGATGCGGGTATGTAAGGGAGAGAGAGTATATCTAAGAACAGGAGCGGGGGGACTTCCCCGGCCGTCCAGTGGTTAAGACTCTGCGCTTCCTGGTGGGGAACTAAGATCCCAAAAAAATACAAGAGAGGGGAAGAGGGAGAATGTTGCCCACCCCTGCAGGTGGAGTTCCCACTAGAGTGGCCCTTTCTGTGGGGCGAGGGGACTGAGGGACAGCTCACAGAGGAGACAGCTCAGCTTTACCAAGCGGGGACACCAAAGGGTCTGGAACTACAGGGCCTTCCTGATAAGCACAGAATCTAAAGTAGAAGTTAGTTGAAGGAAACAGGCAACAGAGTGGGATGTGATGCTAAAGCTCAAAACACCCTACATAAAAGAGAGATGAAAGAAAGAAAAAAAAGAAGAATTGAAAGTGATCTCTGGAATTGACATGTATCCAAATTAGGCCTCTGTGCTTGGAGAACATATGACTTCATCTGCTCCATCCTAAAGCTCTCCCCTGTTTTGAGCCTCTTGCATGTTTGCTTTTTCAGAACTGACACAGAAGAACATTGAAAAGCATGTAAACCACTGTGATCTGTTCTCAGACCTCTTGGTTCCCTCTTATGATTTTCCCATGGAGTTATATCTAAGTACCTTCTTCATGATAAGGAATTGTCATCCCCGTGTTTGAGAGAGAAGATACAATAAAAGCAGAGCACCCAGTATCTAGTCCCAGTTCTGCCCCTAACTCACTGGGTAACGTCAAGGAATCTCTCAGTCTCTCTGGGCACAGCTGCCTCATCGGCCACAGAATCTGATTGGTCACTTTGGGTCATTACCTTTTGACTTCCTGCCATCCTAGATGAGGTTTAGCTCCCCTCAAACATCTCTCCTCCCCTTAAAGTTGTATCACCATATCACATGGTGGTTGAGAGCCCAGACCACCTGCCTCTTGCTAGCTGTGACTCCTAGGATGAGTTATTTAACCTCGAGTCTCCATTTCCTTCTTTGTAAAACGAGGGTAAGAAGAGCATAGTGTATCATTGGGTTGCTAAAAGGATTAAATGAGTTAGTGCAGTTAAAGTATTTAAAACAGTGCTTGGCACAGATAAGGGCTACACTACTCTGGTGTTATGTAATAATAATAAGATTATTATTACTTTATTGGGTAACTTTGTAGTGTTAAAAAATATATACTATTGATAAATCAAGAAATAGAAGTATAAGCATTATTTGGGGCTATAAAAGGCTCCAGTGGGTAGGGTAGGGGGGACCTGGGACATTGCTTTTCCTTTTTCTTTAAGCCCTCCTGTGCTTTGACTTTTCAAGGATGTGTCTGGACCACCACAGTATTGTCTTTTTAATTTCAAAAGATTGAGCAAAAAGATCACTCAAGTTCCTCTCAAATCTCACAATTCAAGGACTGACTGTGATTTTTAAGGAACAGTATTTTTTTAGGTGGCCGGTTTAACTTTGGTATCATAGCTACCGTTAATACGTTTGACGTTTTCAGGAAATCCTCATAAAAGTTTAAAATAAACACAATCACCGGGGCATGTTTATAACTGAGTGTGTTTCAGCGTCTGGGAAAGGAGCGAAAATGAGAAAGGTGAAAATATAAACTTTGTAAATATTTGGCCTTATTAGCTAGCCAAATATGTTGCCCCCTGTAATCTTTTCCCAGAAATCGACTCAATTGCACAAAGGAAGGATCAGTAGCAGAGAGTAAGCTTAGAGGAAAGCACGGCCGGCGCCCGGCGCTGAAAGCGTTAACAGGGCTGAGTAAAGCGATCCCTGAAGTGAGTAAGGCTCGAGTTGTAAAAGTTTGCAAAGCGGCGGCAGCAGCAGCTCCCGGGGAAACGGAAGCCGGTCGAGAGAGCCTGGCGGAGCGGCAGCCGAGAACCGTGCTGAGCTGAACTCAGCCGGGATTACAAGCCTAAGGTTAGTGGCCCCCGCACACCTCCCCGCGCTGACATCTTCGGAGAGTTGTCTCAGGAAGGACGGCGCCGGCTCTCAGCCTGGTGTGTCCTGTCTGCTTTATTCACCAGTGGGGCCGCCGGCTGCCGTGCCAAACCTCCCGCGAATGCGTTCGCCCAAGCACTGGCGCTGTGAGGGCCGGGGACCTCTTCCCTGGAGACTCTCCTAAAGGGGAGACTTCTTTTCAGACATCCGAAAGGAAACTGTTTCTGGGACAAGGATGATTTTCAGAATACACACACACATAGGCGCACACACACACCTGTTATATGCTGCTCCATCTTGGTTCTTGCAGGCTGTGACCACAATCCAGAATTCCTATCTGCTTCAGTTGAAACTGAGAACCATTGTCAAAGTAACAAAACAGGCTGTGCAACTTTATCATATGGGAGGGATATTGTCTCTGAGGCTAAGATAATCAAGGTGAGAAAAAAGAGAGAGAGAGAGAAGAAAGAAAGAAAGAAAGAAAAAAAGAAACTTCCAAGCCACATGGCCTGGAGTTGACAAAAGAATTTTTGAAAATTAGTTTCTAGTAGAAATGTTTCTTGTACGTTGCTAGAACAAAATAATGGGGGAAGATGTATTGTGAAGGAAAGAATTCTACAACTACATGAGATTCAGATACAATTATCTACGTAAACAGTTTATTACAGTGTGGTGCATAGCAGATAAACTTAAAAGAAGGGGGAAAAAAAAAGAGTAAATAGCTTCAGAGAAATTGCATCCTGAGGGCTCTTTCATTTGAGACCCAGATGGACTGCCTGAGGGCTTTCACCCTTGGAGCCCCGGCTGAGAGAGCGGGGTGGCTTTGTCCCCTCAACAGGCCAGTTCTGTTTCCCCCTCTTGCCTTGCACACGGAGAGGCAATGAGTAAGTAGCCAGCGGCCGTGCTGACAGCTCCCTCGCATCCACCAGCAGGCAGGAGTCGAGGCTTATACCTGCTAGCACTGAATCAGAATGAGTCATCTGAAACTTGGGTGCGGGAGCAAAGTCCTTGCAAACTGCCTTATGAGGCGCTGGCTGGATGTAGGTGGGACACACCTCTCCGAGCACTCACAGTTTTTTCTTCTCTTCCTTTCTCCTTCAAACCGGCAGGCATCCGGACACTCTCAAGAAGCAGTCTCTGCCGCTTTGGCTCAGCTGACCTGACCATGTGAACTTAGCCCCTCCGGGTCAGGACTGGAGTTTTAAAATAAAATGGATGATGTGACATTACTTGATCTTCTGGAATGCCCCGTGTGCCTCGAAAAGCTCGATGTCACCGCCAAAGTCCTCCCTTGCCAGCACACCTTCTGCAAACCGTGTCTCCAGAGGATTTTCAAGACCCACAAAGAGCTGAGGTGCCCTGAATGCAGGACCCTGGTGTTCTGCAGCATCGAGGCGCTGCCGGCCAACCTGCTGCTCGTGCGCCTTCTGGATGGCGTGCGCTCGGGCCAGGGGGAGGGGGGAGGGGGCTCCCTCTGCAGGCCTGGCGTGCTGACCTCACAGGGCAGCAGGAAGAGCAAGACTCACCCCCGAGGTCTGCAGTGCAGCCCTTTCCAGCTGGTGCCTAACATCAGAATCCACATGGATGGGGTAAGAAAGATCTCATTTGTTCCTACTGTGTCCACTTGGAGGTTGGGTTTGCCTGCACCAGCAGTTGGGGCTCCTGTTCTTTTAGTTACATTGCAAAGAGTCCCTGAGTAGGATTCCCTGGGGATAAGTTTCTGTGGGCGGTGATCGTTGTACTGAGACTTGGTGGAATACTGAGACTTGGTGGAATCCTGAACCTATCTGATCCACCCACGAATTCTTAGAATTGTTAAAGCTCCCCAGGTTCTCCCTGCTCCTCGTCCAGAAGGCGGTAGGACAAGGAAAGCTTTCTTGATTATCTTTTTGGTCTTACATTTCTGCTGTTCTGAGGCCAACCCAGGGCACGGGAAATGCACAGAAGATGGGAAAAAGGAAAAACAAATCTGCTTGTTGCTTTTGAGATCTCAAAGAAGTTTCCAAATGTCAGGTTTTGTTTGCATTTTACCCCCATCCATCTTTCCATTCCCCAGTCATAAAGTGCCATGATGACAATGCTCATTCATAATGGTTCAAAGTTATCAAGACCCTTAACTGCCCAAATTTCATGTGGGAAGGGAGCATATATGTGGGTGGAGTGATTGACAGGAAGGGCTGGCTGTAAAGTACAACAGATGTGTATAGGAGCCCCGCAGGTGTGTCTAACTTTACAAAATGAATAAAACGTACACAAAGTGTACACATCAGAGGCTGCAATAAAAAAAAAAAAAAAAGAAGAGCCCCAGGAGAGCCCCGGGAGATCACCCAGTAATGTTTTTGGTGTTTGTAATGTGAATCGCTCTCTCCAGCCTTGTGGCACATCCTCAGGACTTTATCTGACCTGGATATGGGAAGCTGGGTAAGGGGACATTTCAAGAGAAGGGCCTGGTCCTTGTGGCTCCAGGAGGATTATTTGCTGTCACCCTTGCAGTCAGTGTGTCCACGTGGACATGGCAAGCTGTGGCTTGGGTGGCTGGCATACTTAGAAAGTCTCAGTTGTATTCTGTGAAGTCCCACCTGAAGCAAGCTTTAATACTGGCAGCAGAGTCTCACGACTCCCTGCAGTGAAGAGCCGCAGAGGGTGGGAGGGTCTTCCCCGGATTCCTTCCCATTGAAGGAGAATAGCCTTGTGGTGTGCATTCAGAGCAAGTTTCTAAAGTATTCCTTCCAACAGCTCACCCCTCCTTGGGTTCCCTGCACCTTTAAGCCACCCATGCAGTAGGGGCGTATGGAAACATTCCAAAATGAGAGCGGGAAGAAGCAGGGCATTGGTGTGATTTCTTTACTGCAGACTTTTTAGTGCCATTGGGCCTGTGTGCGTGAACACATTCCCAAAGAGGGCTTGGCGCCCTTGTTTAAGGCTCCTTATTAGCCCTAGGTCCAGTCATCAATCAGAATCCACAGGCCTGGAAAAGGCGGGGTCAGGGTTGCGGAGCAAACTTTCTGAGGCAGGCTGTGTTTATAGAGCATTAGCTTCTATCTTGGGTCAGCAAATCTCCCTTTGAATTCCTAAGACCCAGCAACCTCTCCCCTCCCTTGTGCTGCAAAGTCTGACTTGCCTCCCTGCAGGGCAGAGTATCATCGATCACTCCGAGTGTCGAGTGTCGAGTGTCGGGGACTGGGAGAAGGCAAGTCCCCTACCACCTTCGCATGTTTTTGTTCATGCTTTCATCTTTTTTCGATATGGCTATGTTGCTAAGAAAAGGTAGCAACAGATGGATCCACAGCTACCTACTTTTTGAACCACAGAGGATTCCCAGGCCCCTCCCGGCATAGGGAGTTGTAGGAACTAGAGCTGGTCCAACAGAAGAGACAGCCAGTAAGATGCTGCGTGTCGCTGGAACTCTTTCACAAGGACCTGTCACTTCAGACCAAGGTGCCGGTGATGGGGTTGTGCCCATCCTCTGAGCTGCACTAGAGTCCTGCCATGAGGTTGAAATGGAGAACCAAGCCGTTGAGGGCTCCTGCTTTCAGGCAGGACCTGGTTTAGTGAAGACTCTCTACAAGAGAGCAGAGCTGGCAGCCAGCCCGCAGCTGCCCCTGTTTCCTTCATTTCCTGAGCCTACCTTTCTCCAAGTGCCTCGTGTCATCCCTTTTGCCTCTCTCAATGGGGATATGAACAAACTATTCCTGGATGTAAATACGGCTGTAATTCTGCAACCTGTTCTACTCCCCCCAGTACAGCTACATTTCCTAGAAGTGTGAAAGTGATCGCATGTCCCTGGGTTCAGAGAATTGCGGATTGTCTGGGAGGCCACGCTGTTCTGAGAGGCAGAGTGATGGCCTTGCATCCTCAGTCAAACCCTCACCAACCTACTGGCCCTCTCAGCCTCAGTTTACCCAATCCAGTCAACACTTAGTAATACTTGCTACCCCTCTTCCTCCAGGATAGTGTAAAAATTATCTTTACAACATACTCATGGCACCTTAGAAAACCTATGCCATGTAAATGCAAAGCATCATCATTATCATTAATTTAAACCGGCTGTATGTCTTTGGGCAAGCCACTTAAGCTCACTGGGTCTCAATTTAAAATTCTATAAAATGGGAAAATGTATTATAAAAACAGAGAGCCACTGTGAGGCTTAACTAATGAGTGTTTGCAAAGCACTTTGAGATCCTTAGATGAAAGGCATTAGGAAGGTCGTTATCATAGTAAGCATTATTATTGACTGTTCAGTGTGCCCTGCCGTGCATGAGGCATTCTACAAAATATAGCAGGAGTGATAGCCCTTGCAGGAGAGTGTAATAGGTCTTATTATTGAACTTGAGTCTATGATGAGTCCAGGCCAGGATAATACTAAGTATCAAGTACTACCCTAATACGGCATAAATAACCTGTTGTCACAGGGTACCATTTTCTAAAACACTCTTCCAAAGGACTCTATGTTAAGGTGGCACTCCCAAAGAGTTCATTTAACTTCCTGTCCAACAGCTTTTTAAGCCCAAAGTCTGTTCTGCTTTCCTAAACTCATCAAAAACACAAGCTCATCAAGATGTTTCTGTTGGCTCAAAGAGGCCTGGTACTTTTTGTGCCAGCCAGTATACTAGGGGGGAACCAATAGTCACACTTCACGGTGCCAGCCCAAGAGACAAAAAAATAGTCCATTGTGCCTACCTGTCTAAAACCCTCCTAAGCCAATTGTGTAAAAAGAAAACTTGAGAAACGGCTATAGGTTTCTACAGCACGCAATTATTTCAAACCAACAGGGGAGATCAACAGACTCCTGGAGGGCCCATGGCAGTGCAAATCCCACCGGCTCTTATTCCTTCCCGTACTGCAGGTGAGCCAGAGGAACTTCGCAAGCCTTCAAGAAGATTATGGGCTTCTGTATAGCTGATCTCTCTGCCTCCTCCGTCTGTTATCCTTTAATAATATTTCTGAATGAGACCAGGCAAGAGGGGCTTCCCTGGTGGCACAGTGGTTAAGAATCCGCCTGCCAATGCAGGGGACACGGGTTTGAGCCCTGGTCCGGGAAGATCCCACATGCTGTGGAGCAACTAAGCCCGTGCACCACAACTACTGAGCCTGCGCTCTAGAGCCCGTGAGCCACAACTACTGAGCCCACGTGCCACAACTACTGAAGCCCATGTGCCTAGAGCCCATGCTCCGCAACAAGACAAACCACCACAGTGAGAAGCCCGCGCACCGCAACGAAGAGTAGCCCCCACTTGCCACAACTAAAGAAAGCCCGTGGGCAGCAACGAAGACCCAATGTAGCCAAAAATAAATAAATAAATTTATTTAAGAAAAAATAGAAAAAAGGCAAGAAAGCAGTGAAGATAAAATTTGCAAAGTTAGGTTTGAAAAATACCAGAATTCAAATCCTGATTCTGCCCCTTGATAGTTGTGTAATTTGGATGAATCACTTAAACCTCGGTGCCTCTAATTCCCCTTTTATAAACTAGAGATAACAGTAGTATCTACCTCAGAGCGTCAGTGGGGAGAAATAAATGAAACTGTTAATGTCAGTTAGCTCGTAGCACCGCAACTGGTTCCTATTACAAGCTCAATAAATATGAGCTGTTATTATTATTAAAGTGACTCAAGACTTACCAGTCTAAATTACACAACATCTCTCACCCCCTTGTTAATCGAGTGTCCTCCAGAGATGGTCCTGGGTACCCTGATTTTTGGTTTGGTTTGCTTTGTGTGTCTCCAAAGGGTCTGGGGCCATGATTCAGGTATGTGATTTCTCCCAGCATGCGCTGACTTGGCAGCTCACTTCCAAGACCCTTTAGGAGCTAGGAGTTGATTCTAGGAGAAAACGTGCTACCCAGCGTCACTTCCCCAAATGGCAGGCTTAGCAGGACACCATACAAAGGGCAACAACCTGGTGCACCTCTGCAGCATCACCAGTTCCTCATTAAGGTCTAGCTTTCCTTTCCCCTGCATCTCTCTATCCCCAATACAAACGTTGCCGCCCTGGGCCTTGCAGGGCCGGACTCTCTCCCTTCTTTGTTAAACAACATGCCAACCACACATATTCCTGTCTCACTTGCCCTGTCTCAGCAAGAACACACCTGCCACCTACAGCACACAGACCAGGTGGCCGTGTCCTAGAAACTTTTTCAGCTGGTGTTGCAAGCAGCTGAGATGGCAAAATGAGGTCAGAAGGCACATGAGGGAATTGAGGCTGGGTAGAAACCAGAAGGCGCCCAGCCCCTTTTCCTGGGTTTCAGCTGCTGTGTCCTACGGCAGAGCTGTGACACAGACGGTGGTTTCTGCTAAATGTACAATGGGGCTAAAACCATCCCAAGCCCCTGAAAACAGCAGGCAGATGCCACTGGGTCAGCAAGGCCTGGATGCGGCAAGTGGAGGAAGACATAAAGGTAGGAGCTGAGGTTGAGAAGTCAGGAGAGACCCAGATGGTTCTCCAGATCCACCCACATATGCAAACCTTTTAAAAAACCACATGGCCCCAAACTGGCTTTGCTCCCAACCCTTTCTCCATGGACCTCCTTCCTAGTTACAGTTCCCTCCCTTTTACTGATTAGTGTTTAAGGATTGTGGTCAAATGGAGCTG